CTGGCAGGCTGCCCTTCGCCAGGTCGGGCTGCTGGCCTCCAGCTTCACCTGGCGAACTTCCAGGGCGAATCCCGGGTGGGGCGGCGGAGAAGGAGGCCTGGCTGAGCAGCCCTGGCAGGGCCNCTCAAATCCACCGGATTCTTTGAATCGGTTTGACAACGGAAGGGCTGGGATGACTCCATGCATTTATCAAACTGAGCCTGTTCTGGGCAAAGATCCGGTTGCTTTAAAGGAGGCTGTTTGTTTTTTAAAAAACGGCTGAGGTTTCCATCTAGTGGCGCCTTTTATTTCCCATCAAAACTAATCAGGCTGGCATCTCTCGTAACTGGTACCCACCCAAGATCCGGTGCCTGTAAGAGTAATGATCGGCAAGGCCCTTTGATCCGTGGCGCTGTAAGACTACGGATGCAGACTAAACCGTCATGTGGTTCATTTAGAGTGAGCTGAAATGTGCTTTTGTCAATTCAGGCATGCGTAAATGGTAGGCTGTGCTATAGTGTTGTGTCGGCCAGGCGTGTTCTAAAACTCTTGATTAAAGCACCTGATTGTTTTAGGGCAGTGTTTCTTAACCTTGGTAAGGTAAGATTTGTGGATTTCCATTCCCAGAATTCCCCTGCTATAAAAAAAAGCTGGCTGGGGGATTCTGGGAGTTGAAATCCACACATCTTGGGAAGATTGGGGCAACCTATAGCAGTGAAATGGAATTACCACATTTTTCGGAGTATAAGACGCACCCTTTTCCCTCAAAAAAGGGGCTGAAAATCTGGGTGCGTCTTATACACTGAATACAGCATTTTTGGCCTCCCGAAACCCCGCCCCCATTCACCAAAATGGCTGTGCAGAGCCTGTAGGAGGTTTTCAGAGTTCTCCTGGGACTAGGGAGGGCAGAAATGAGCAAAAAACGGGCCATTTTTTGCCTCCCCCAGCAGCACTCTATAAGCTTCCTAAAGGCTATCTGTTGTGGCCCAGCATGAGCTGTTGCAGCTGCCACCAGACTCCGACAGCGAGGGGCCCTATGAGTTGGCTNGCTCAGAGTTTTTATTTTTATTTATTTATTTATATAAATGTAAAATTTATTGACCCTCCCATCTTAACACAGGGAAACTCTGGGCGGCTTACTAACTTAAAAACGCTGAACCGTTGGGTTCAGTGTTTCTCAATCTTGGCCCCGGCAACCTTAGTAGTAACCTCGATGAAGAGGTTTGGCACAGCTGGCTGGGAAACCTATTGGAAGTCTACATATCTTAAAAAGTTCCAAGGTTACTGAAGGATAAAGCAAAATCAGGAGTCTTATAAAAAGGGTGGAGTAGATGGTATTAAATGGTTGGACGATAGACACAAGGTATAAGAGTTAAGTATTATCTACAACAAATACAATAACACCGTATACATCCGTAAATATGATTATATTCCAAGTCACTATATAATATAGAGTATATTAGAGAACATAGAAATGGTACTTGTGTAAATATGAATGATATTAATGTTACAGGCTAACTCTGCCGACTGCCAGCAGTTCGATCCTGACTGGCTCAAGGTTGACTCAGCCTTCCATCCTTCCGAGGTCGGTAAAACGAGGACTCAGATTGTTGGGGGCAATAGACTTGACGCTGTAAACTGCTTAGAGAGGGCTGGAAAGCACCGGAAAGCGGTATATAAGTCTCAGGGCTAGTGCTAAACCACCCGTCGGAAGCTGGAATTTGGTGTTCCTGGGTGAGAAGCTGGCTATTTTTTAAGATGTTCTGCTTAGGATTTGGATGTGAGCCGGGTGCCGCTTTGCAATCAAGGGCTTGAAATGGGCTCCCTTCCCTCCCTCCCCTAAACTGCCTCACCCCTCGATTCCGTCAATCTGCAAGGGCGTCTTTTGTTTTCTTCTCCGTTTCTTCATAAGCCTGTTGCTGATGGAAAGGCGCAGCTCAGGGAGCTTAACCGTTATGTGCAATGACCTTTACTTTTCATATTAATATATTATTGCCAGATCTGTACGACTCGGAGAAGGCAGTTTGGAAATTCAGATGAAATGCCAACGCAACGCGGCGTCTTCCGTCCAGACCCTTCTCCTCCCACCCATTGACACCCCCTCCTCCCCGGTCTCCCAGCTCGGGCATCCGGCGGTGGCAAATTAATATTCACCCTTCCCTCCCTTTCTCTCCGCCCTTCCCTCTCTTTCTGTCCTTCTTTCTCTCTGTCCTTCCTTTTCTTCTCTGTCCTTTTTCTTCCCCCCCTCTTCTTCTCTTTCTCCTTGTCTCTCCTTGTCTCTCCTCTTTCTGTCCTTCCCTCTCTTCTCTCTGTCCTTCTCTCTTTCTCTCTATTCTTCTCTGTGTGTCTGTCCTTCCCTCTTCTCTCATTCTTTCTCTCCTTCTCTCTCTCTGTCCTACTTTCTCTCTGTCCTTCTCTTTCTCTCTCTTCCTTCCCTCTTTTCTTTCTGTCCTTCTCTTTCTCTCTGTCCTTCCCTCTCTTCTCTGTCCTTCTTTTTCTGTCCTTTTCCCCCCTTCCTTCTCTTTCTCGTCTCTCCTTCTCTCCTCTTTCTGTCCTTCCCTCTCTTCTCTGTCCTTCTCTCTTCCTCTCTGTTCTTCTCTGTGTCTGTCCTTCCCTCTCTTCTTTCATTCTTTCTCCCCTTCTCTCTCTTTCTGTCCTACTTTCTCTCTCCCGTTCTCTCTCTCTCTCTCTCTCTGTCCCTGTCTCCCCCCCCCTCCTCTCCTCTTTCTCTTTCCTTTCTCTTTTATTGACTCGGAGAGCTTTGCCCAAGCAACTTGATCGAGAGTAACATTATCAAGAGCTTTGCGGGCCCGCTTCTTTTGTCATTTCCACACCCGTGTCGGCTCGACACTCGTCACTGTCAATCAAACCGCAATAAGACGCAGATGAGTTGCTCATTTGGTTTAATAAAATCTCCCTGCTTATTTGCAGTGCAGTCATTATGCCACATAATTGCCGCGCCGCCGAGGTGAACAGCAGCCGGTTGCCTGGGGATATGAAGGGAGGGGGGGATAGGAAGGTGTTTGCTCCCCTACTTGTATCCCTCTCCCGAGTCACTCATATCCCTAAAATTAATATTGTATTGTATAATATTGTATTTGAATCTGCTCCCTCCCTCCGCAAACCCCGTGCCGATGGAGGGCTAACATTGTTATTACTTATTATTTGGACGTGAAGTCATTTATTTTGAATTGCCTTGGAATGTCTGCCAGGCTCAATTGCATTCAGGAGGGTTCGGTGCCAGTTTTAATGGCCATTGGAAAGCGAGGATCCAGAATTAGGAAGATAGGTCCACCTGCCGTGTGGTACCTAAGATCAAAGCATCGGGCCTCTGTTCCTGGGCTTCCAACGACACTTCCACAAACCAAGATAGCTCCTTTCTNTATATGTAATGGCTTCTTTTAGCCCAGTAGGAAAAGCAACAGGAAATCTGAGCCTCCAGTTTTGCATTTAAATAAGTGGAAAAATGTGGTAATAACATGACAAACAGGTCTGGGGTTTTTTGATCATTAATCATGCTAAGCAATATTCATAAATTCAATTTTGAAGAAGTTGGATACTTTTTCTCCCCCTGTTATTAGTTTCGGTGTTATTAAATGAGATTGTTTCTGACTAATATATTTCTCGACTCAAACGGTAGCTCCGAGCTGTTATTCAAATCAAATAACATGCCCCTTACTTGTGCCTAGCACTCATAAATGCCAAGTTGTGATACATTTCTTGGTGATGGTCACGAATATTAAAGGAGGCAATAAAGCTTCTAATATCTCATAAGTAAGCTGATTTTTTTCTAAAGGACTGGAATCAACCGCTATGGAAGAGACAGGGGGAGGGGGGGATTTCTGGAGTATAAGGCCTAAAGCTACATCTCTTTTTTTCTTTCTTTCTTTTTCTTTCTTTCTCTTCTCTTTCTTCATTCTCTCCCTTTTTCTTTTTTTCATTTTTCCTTCCTTCCTTCCCCTGCCTTTCTTTTCTTCCTTTTTTCATTCCCTTCCCTCCCTTTTTTTCTTTTTCCTTCCTTTCCTCCCTCCCTCTTTCTTCTCTGCCTTTTTTGTCCTTCTTCATTCCTTTCCCTCCTTTTCTTTTTTTTTCTTTTTTCCTTTTTTCCCTTCTTTCCCCTTTCTTTTTTTCTTCCTTTCTTCATTCCCTTCCCTATCTTTCTTTTTCTTTCTTTTCTTTTTCTTCCTTCCTTCCTTGCCTCGCTCCCTCCCTTTTTCTTTCTTTCCCTCTCTCTCCTTATTTCCTCTTCTTCCTCCAAACACTCATCATATGGTTCAAGCATTGTGTGAACCTCCGCCAAATATGGCTTGTTTCATGAACCACATTTAAAAACCTGAAACATGCAACTTCGTCTGAGAGAGGAGGAGGAGGAGGAGGAGGAGGAGGAGAAGATCTNCTGAAAAAAAGCCAGCACTCCACATACCCCCACCAAGATTCATAGAAAGAGGTCAGCTCCGACCACGCTTTACTCACAAAACACAAAGCCGAAAACACCAGCCTGAAGATGGCGAGTGACACCTTGCCAAAATGTTGCCAAGACAATCTCAATCTTTCACAGGAAAAGACTCTTGGAAGCTTCAAAAGTTACCAAGAACAGGTTGGGGTGGTAAGTTTCTCTCTTCTGTCCGAAATGAAGCTTGCTAGCTAATAAATCAAGGCTATTTCTTTAGAGAAGAAAATAGAATCTGGGAATTAGTATGCAAATGGTGAAGTAAAAAGGGGAGAACTGGGTTTAGTCAGCCAGAAAACTGATTTGTGACTCCAAACTGAAATGCTATCTTTTCCTCTAATCGACCTTACAAGGTTGATGTCAGGTCATAAAGGAAGATGGAACAGAACAACAAATGGACATTGTTCCGAGCTATCTGGAGGAAGTGCCACATAAAGAAAATAAATTAGATCTGTTAGCTACCCTGCATCCTTGCTCACCAACTATATAATGGGTTTATTTTAAGATTTTTTGCTGCCAATATTATATATGCATAGCATTGGGTGGAATAGTCTACCCTTATACACCATACCATATCTGGTAGAAGAGATCTTCCTTAGTTGTCAGGGGAGTAATACAAAGTTCCAATGCTGCTTTATTGAGCTGAGCTAGGGCAACTTCCCGTTCTTCTTCTTCAGGGACTGTCAGCAACGTCTAAAGAAATAGAAATCAATATCAAACTCTCTCTCTAAAATGCTCACATAAACACAAGCAGAGCTACAAATATTTACAGTCAGTCCGAGATCATAATGCCTGAAGAGTATCAAAGTATAAAGCGGTAGCCTGAGCAAAAGAGATGTGCCAACCTCCCTTTATTTCAGTCAATAATAATGCTGGTGAAATTAGTTAGTGGGGCTTGCAAGTGTCCCTTCCTACACTCACCAACAGGGAGACTACTTGAATGAAAAAAGATGCCTATGGATAAGGTTCAAATCTTGCCATTTTCCATATTAGAAAATATTGGATATTCTGTCACAAGGATGGGATTCTCTCTGAATAATTCTCATACTGAGGAATAAGAAACCTCATTAACATACCTGCCTAAAATCCGCAACAGAAAGGTTCCATTCCACACGGGGTGCTTCCTCTACTTGGGCCACTTCTTCTATTTCAGTTTTACTAGTTTCATCTACCAGTTCTTCCAACCCAAGCGTCTTTACTATGGAAGTAGGCGAGGAAAGACTCTTACGGATATCCTCAGGACTCTTCTGAGAGTCTGCAGTACTCTTGGATGGAGAAGACTCACTGGCCATGCTTTTTCTCCGTTCTTCTTCTACATACACTTCTACAGGTTGAGGATTCATAACTCTGTTCCACAATTCATGAAGCTCCTTTACAACTTGGTGATTGTAATGCAGCTGTAAGGAGAGAGATGACTAATAAAGTGGCATATAAGGAATCAACCGCTTCTGACACATCCTCTCATCAAAGTTTCTGTGATGCAGACCTTACTGAATTTGAATGTATCTTGATACTTCAATCCGTGACCCGTCAAAACCGCCCTCAACTAAGCCGCGCCCGATTAAACTGCGTCGCTGATGTCATCAACAGGGCGACAACAGCCAGTGTGGAGAAAGAAGGGCGCTTTAAATAGCGCTTTGNATCTTTGTTGCTCTTCTCTGCACTCTTTCTAGAGTCTCCACATCTTTTCTACATCCTGGTGACCAAAACTGAATGCTGTATTCCAAGTGTGGCCTTTCCAAGGCTTTATCAAGTGGTATTGACACTTCACGTGATACTGAATAAAACTCTATTTACCACCCATAGGTATCTCTTCCTCTGCATAGACCTTCATGCTGACCCATTTTTCTATTCCTTTCCTTAGGATAAAGCAGCTTTGGACGAACGGATTGCTTATTTCAAAACCTACCTGGAGACCAAAGGGGCAGCTTTGAGCCAGACAACGGAATTCCTCCCTTTCTATGCCCTGCCTTTTGTGCCCAACCCTATGATCCACCCGTCTTTCAAAGAGCTTTTCCAGGTAAGTCCTTGATTTGATCGGGAATGGCGGCTCCTCGGTCTGGATCGATGGGTGCGACACTTACCGTATTTTTGGAGTATAAGACGCACCTTTTTCCCCTAAAAAAGGGGGTAAAAATCTGGTGAGTCTTATACACTGAATACAGCATTTTTGGCCAACCAAAACCCCACCCCCTTTGCAAAAATGGATGTGCATAGCCTTTAGGAGGCTTCCAGAGTGCTCCTGCGGGCTGGGGGAGGGCAAAAATGAGCATGCCCCCCCTTTTTTTGGTAAAAAATGAGGCGTGCAAAGGGTTTGGGAAGCCTGCAGAGTGCAAAAACTTTTTTTAAAAACAGTTTACCTCTTCAAAATCATGGTGAGTCTTATACTCTGGTGCGTCTTACAGTCCAAAAAGTACAGTAGCTTTGGCAAAGTTGAATACAGATAGTCCTTGACTTACAACCGTTTGTTTAGCGGCCGCTCAAAGTTACAACGGCACTGAAAAATGCTGACTTAGGGCCGTTTTTCACACTTACGACCTTCTGTGATTTCTGCTTCTACTTCTGCTTCTTGTCCTTGTCCTTGTTACCACGTTGCAAGAGCTGCATGGGTATTGTATACATGCATCACATCATATATTATTGTATATAAACAAGTTTCTTCTATAAATGAATCCTGCTGAATTATTTACTTGTGTGCTGATTGGATCCCTGCAAATTCCGACATAATATCTGTCAGGGTTCCAAATAGCATCCGAAAGTAAATCAGAGTCCGAGACAAAGGATTCCTCAAAGTTCCAATTTATTAACAGAGCCATGTTGGCACAGCTGGGAAAACCCGAATCTGAATGCTTCCTTGTTTTCCCCTCCCAGTTGAAACTTCAAGATCTTGCCCCCATAATCTGCCAATTACCTCCCTGCGACCAATTAGATCNCTTTGGAGAATAGTTTGACTCCCTCTTCTTTGTGGAAACCCCTGAGATATTGGAAGACTGCTATCATGTCTCCCTTAGTCCTTTTTTCTATTAAACTAGACATATAGGGTTTCCTGCCTAGGCAGGGGGTTGGACTAGAAGACCTCCAAGGTCCCTTCCAACTCTCTTCTGATTGAAATGCATCTCATTTAACAATGGAAGCAATGGAAGTTTTAGTTCCAATAATGGTTGTAAATCAAGGACTACCTGTATTGTGACCTCACCCATCATTGTTGTTAGTGGCGAAGTGGTGTCCAACCCATATGAAATACAACACAACACCTATTGACAAGCCAATTGGGAAGCCAGATTCCCTTAACCGTTTTACTAAGTTTTAACAATTGCCGACATTCCCCAGTGATGGCCACCAAGGTCGCAAAATGGGGCAAGACTCGCTTACCAACTGTCTCGCTTAGCAACAGAAACTTTTGACCTCCATTGTGGTCGTAAGTCAAGGACACGTGGTATCTTGTTTCTCTTTATGCAAAAGCCAAACGGGGTTTGAGTATCTTCTGATGCTATTCGCTGCCAGTGGGATGTTTTAGTCCTCAGGGGAACTGGATTTGCCTCGGACAAAGTGGCTGGTGGGTTGTGGGAAGGTGTGATTTTTCTCACCGTTCAAGATTATATTGAAGGGAGGGAACAGAAGCTCTTAATGGGGTGGACTGGCGCTCTGCCCATTTCCAAACTTGTGGCCGGCTGGTTTAGTCATCGGATACCCAGATAGCTCAGTCGGTTGCGCAAAGCTGTTTTCTCGGTGCCAGAAACTCACCTGCAGGCCGACGGTTTGATGGAAGAGGTGAGAATTGATGTTATCTCCGAAAAAGGCAATTCTTGCTGGGTGGCCTGTCTCCTTCCTTGGTACCAGTCCCCGCGCAATTAAAACTGCCGGGTAAACATTGAAGTGGGCTTGGCCGGTTGCCTTTGTCCAAAATTGCAAGTATTTACAAGAATAACAAGAGTTGGACGAGAACTTGGAGGCCTTCCAGTCCAACTACCTCCTCAGGCAGGAAGCCCTGGACCATTTCAGACAAATGGCCGTCCAGTCTCCTCTTTAAAACCTCCCATGGTTGAGCACCCACAGCTTTTGGAAGGAAGCCATGTCTGATTAATTGTCCTGATTGTCGAGAAATTTCTCCTTGGAGGTGGTGACCTTTTGAGAGCTGCATGCAACGAAATTCCATTTTAATGTATGCGGATTAGCGTACATTCAAAGTGACAATAAAGTTATTCTTTCTTCCTTTCTATCTATCTATCACCCACTTACCTACCTATCCATATCATCTTTCTGTCTCATCTATCTATCTGTCTGTCTATTTGCCTGGATGGATGGATTGATAGATAGATACAATGAGATAGATAGATAGATAGATAGATAGATAGATAGATAGATAGATAGATAGATAGATAGATAGATAGAT